CACTAGCTGGATGGAGTCTGACTTTGTGGATGCAGATCCATGTACTATGACAAGCGCTACCAAGAAGTGTAAGTCTGTCTCAAATCACAGGGGTTTACTAGAGGGTGGGTATTACTTTGTAGGACCTTTTTTCCAAATGAGTGACTATGGCTGTTTTCACAATCTTGTGTTTTCCTTAGGTGAGCACAGAGGATGGCTTTGTGTACTGTCTGGATGCTCGTTCTGATAAGCCACTGTTTACTCTGAAAGCTCACGATGAAGAGGTGTCAGGTAAACACTCTGTATGTGTGTTATGTTTGTCCCCAGTGGCGAGGCACATCTGGAAGATGTCTTTAATGGCTATGACTGAGGTAGTAGCAATTCCTTGCTTAACAAGTTAAAGTTGTGCATACTCACTATGGGTAACTAGCGAGTGAAACAAATCTGCTGAGAAGCTGTTGTAAGCAAAATATTTTAACAACAGTGAACTTTTCTCAGTGAATGTCCTGAATAAACATGTCAAAGCAGATCTGTTCACTTGAGACACGTTCCCTGTGGTTTTTTGGGTGAGGAAGAACAAAAGCTATGGAACCTGGTCCAGGATCACGAACTATAATGTTTACCTTTATTTTATACTGGCGTTCACTCTGGAGATGATTTAGGTATAGCACTTGGGAAGGTTTATACACTGCCTCCTTCAGGCTACTTTAATTGCTTGATCAGTGTAGGAACCCCTAAGAAGCAACTTGAAACACCCGATTAGGTGTCTGAAATGAGATCTATGAATATGCCACATTGTCTTGCATAGCAAAAGAGTCTTTGGCAAATGAATGAAGAAAACTACCTGGAGAAGCCAGATTATGTGAAGAAAGAAGCATAACAATAGCATCCTTGCACTGCTACAGTTGGAGTGGGAAACGGAATAGGCTGGCATACCATCAGTTTGTTGTCACTACGGGAAGCAGTGGCAGCATGAAACTTTATCACTTTGCTCCTTTTTGCTGGAACAATTTAGTGTGAGGAGACTATTGGATTTCTCATGACTTTGCTTCAAAAAGGGTCCTCATGTCTGTGAAATAGTGATTACCTGGTGCTATCACACTTCTGTATTCTTAATCTTCCAGGGCTACAGCTAAGCAGTCAGATCAAAGGATGCCTTGTGACATCATCTGCTGACAAACATGTGAAAATCTGGGATATCCTGGGAGACAGACCAAGTTTAGTCCATTCCAGGGATATGAAAATGGTAGAGTAATATTAATTTCTTAATTCCAGGAAGGTTTATGTCTGCTTATTCATTTTTTGTCTATCTTGAATCGTGTTTTACCTAACATACTATCTTTTAGGGGAAAAAAGTCACACCTGTGTGTTCTGGGTAAATCACTGTCATTATAGTGCGGTATTCAATTCAACATCTAATTGGCAGACCTGAATATCAGATGCAACATTCTGAGTAGAATTGTAGGTGCTCCAACGTGTAACTTCCAGGTTCAAGACAAAGATGTGATTCACTGTTTGTAACTAGCAGCTCTTGACTTTAATTTTGTGTCTTCACAAAATCAGTTTCAGGAAACTGTCGTGGTTTAAGCCCAGCCGGCAACCCAGAACCATGCAACCATTCGCTCCCTCCCCTCCCACACTACACACAAACCACTGCTGCTACCACCAGTAATAATAATGATAAGGGAAATAACAAGGGAAGAGAGTACAACTGCTCACCACCCACCAACCGATACCCAGCCTGACCCGAGCAGTGATCTAGCCCTTCCGGGTAACTGCCCCCAGTTTATATAGTGGGCATGATGTGCTGTGGTATGAAATACCTCTTTGGTTAGTTTGAGTCAGGTGTCCTGTCTCTGCTTCCTTCCGGCTTCCCCTCCTCCCAGGCAGAGCATGAGACTGAGAAAGTCCTTGGTCAGAGTAAACATTACTGAGCAACAACTAAAAACACTGGTGTTATCAGCGCTGTTCCCAGGCTGAAAGTCAAAAACACAGCACTGCACCAGCTACTAAGAAGGAGAAAAATGTCTGTGACTGCTGAACCCAGGACAGAAACTTAGAGAGATTACATTTCTTAAAACTTGCTTGGGATTTTCAGATGACAGATTCATTTTGGGATGGTGGGTTTTAAACAGTCTCCTCTTTTTTTTCCCTTGCATCTTCCCAGGGTGTTCTCTTCTGCGCGGCTTGCTGCCCTGACCTCCCATTTGTTTTTGCCTTTGGAGGAGAGCGAGAAGGGCTGCGTGTTTGGGATATTAGCAAGATTTCTGCAGGTAACATTCTCATTTCTTTGGATCTTACGATGCTCCCCTTGCCCCCAGGGTGTATTTGTATATTCAGTGATGTACTGTGGCTCTGAGAGTAACTAGGTTAGTATTTTAAATGCCCCAAGGCTGCAGGTGTGTTCACATTTTCAGCTTCAAAAAATGTGGGTTTTTCTAACTTGGAGACCTGTGTTTGCCACATGATTTTCTTGTAGCTGAAGTGTAATACCTGATTTCTTGTAATACCAATGTTTTACTTTGTTCTTAATGTTCCTGGTGTAATCGAGTACCACATTCTTGAGTACTTGTAGGCATAAAAGTGAGGACTGGGTTTGATTGGTGGTGGTAGCTACATGTAACTAAACGGTGTGAATTTCTGGAGAAGGCTCTTAAGAGCTTGGTGGAAACCAGAGAGACTAAAACCAGAAATAAATTATTTAAACATAATGTTTTGCACTACAAAACTCATCCATTTCACAGTACTTAGGCACAGGAATTATACAGAGAGAAACCTCTAGAGATGCTTTGGAGGAGAAATAACAGGACTTGTAATTTAAGTATCATACGTGGGAGATTGTTCTGATGTGTAAGCTTTAACTCCCTATACAGGGGAAGGGGAAAAGCTTTGCAATGGCGCCAAGTTAGGTTTTCCATTCCATTCCGTGATGCTCACCATGCTCCACCTGCTGTAGTTCTCTTGCCTCTGGGAGAATAGCATGTTCCCATCTGTTTTGCAGTGAATGAAGTTTTTGGAAACAGAGAGAGACTTGTTCTGGTAAACGCCAACTCTGTTGCCAGCAGCAGCAGCAGCAACAATTCAGAGACAGCAATGGAATCGTGATGGACCAAACATCAAAAATCAAAGTAATTAACGGCACTATGACTAATGTGGATTCTGCAAGTCCTGCCATTTGGTGAGAGTTCATAGGAATTACTCTGGTGTCCTGCAATCTGCAGGCTTCTTCATCTTGAAGAAATACGGTGATGGGGTCAAGCTCTAAGTCAGCAGTTCTAAGTTCCTGCCTCTGTTACTAGCTGTGAAAGATTAAATGACTTGCTTTTTGCCTGAGATTATGATCCCTGTAACAGGAAGTACTATGTGTAAAGTTGATACATAAACTGAAACAGGCACTAGAAGAGTACTTTGCTACTAACAGAAGTTTGAATACTACAAAGAAGGTAAATATCTTCTAAAGGCATAAGGAAAAATACTTCAGCCAGCAGGTGTGTAATAAAAAAACAAAAGTTAAATGAAATGACAAGTGTAAATAGATAATTTATACTTGATTTGAGGCTAGATTTACAGATTCCTAATACAGATTTTAAAAGTTCTATGTAACTTCCCTAAGTCTTGAGTATTTCTTGGGCAGTAAGTTGGGAGTCCCCGAGTAGGATCTTGAAATGCCTTTGTAACACCTTAGATCACCAGTATCAAACCAGAAATATCCCATATCTATCCCATCAAGATCCAGGGGTTCTTTTTTGTGGTTCCACAGCAGCTGAAGCTTGTTAATGTCACATGTGCACTGGGTTTTTCTTCAAGCTCCAGATGTTACATATATATGAAGACAATTTGAACTGAAGTAAGGGGTTACTACTCAGAAGAGGGCGAGAGGCTGTCAGGACACAAAGCAAGGGTGGGGATCTCGGCTTGTCACTGTCACTGGTGAAAGCTGACCATGTTGCATGCTCATGTTCCTAACTCCTCCCAGGTATTTCTGCCTGAAACCTGAAGGCACAAAGGAACGTTTTGAGTATAATCACCCTAACTGCTGACTTTAATCATAGGTTAGGGTGGGGTGGAAAGGACCTTAAGATCATCTAGTTCCAACCCCCCTGCCATGGGAATGTGACCTAAAACACCCAAGCGCCTTACCCCAGGCCAGTGATTATTGTGTCCTCCTGGGATGTGTTTCCCTGTCTTCATAGTGGAAGGTATCTGTGTCTGTTGAGGTGGTGCTGCTGCAAGAAGTCCCTGGGTATCAAAGCAGCCATAGTATTGGGGCCTGTTGTTGATGGGATCTTACCACCACTTCCCATCCCAGCTCACTGTAACTCCTGGTGAGGTGAGGCAGATTGACTGTATCAATACAAAATGCAGATGGTGAAAAGGCAGGGCTGGCAGTTTGCTTCCCACCCCTTTAAGTTAAATGGCTGCTTCTAAGTTCAATTTAGTTGCTTCTAGTCTGGTGGCATGTACCTAGCATGGCTCTGCAGGAACCAAGAATACTCTGTGTTGGGATTCCTGCTGCAGTCCAAGCAGTAGTGAAGGACGTGATGTGGACAGTAAATGAACCACCACTTTTGTGAAGCTGAAGAAGGTGAAGGCATCAAAACCACCTCTGTTCAAGTGCTCTCCACTGAAAATCTGCAAGTTTTTCAAAGCTTTCCCTTGAAATAAATGCTTTGTGTTAAGCTCTTGGAGGGTAGTTGTTTCTGTTACCTGTACCTCTGGTACTAATTTCCACCATAGCACTAGATGTTGCTTTTTGTTTTGGGAAGAAATTGTGTTACTGCAAGCAACACATCTTTCCCTTGACTAGACAAAATCCCTCAACCTGTCCTTCTGGAGCTTTTTATTCACATTCTGATCTCAGAGGGCAAGCAACATGCATTTATCATGGGATTCTTTGGGATCTCCCTAGGAAATACAGCGTACAGGTGATGAAAAAGTTGTGTTATTTCTCTTAGCATTGCTATCACAAATGGGATCCTTTTTCTTAAGAATGTGTAAATATTAAAAAAAACTCAAAACCATTAGAAAAGAGCCACATTTTTATTTTTTTCAAAGGAAAACCACCAAGTAAAAATACATCTTAATTACATAAATAATGTTAGCAGCAAACCCTCCCATCATTCCAGGTGGTACAAGGTTTACAGCATGAGAAGTAATACATACTGTAAACACCATCTGAGCATCTGTAAGCCTCCTCCTTACTGTATAGTCTTTACGTCTTCACCTGCTGCCATGTTCTCGTGAACCAGAGCAAGAAGAGGCAGTAACTCTTCTCCGAAAGCCAATGTCTGATTTTCTGTACTGGGGTATTTGCTTTGTCTGCAAATGCTGATTTTTGCTGATTTCATGGGATTTTTTTTTCTTTAACCAAAGCTGTTTGTTTGAGGTTTTCTTTAAGAAGGAGACCTGAGCATTGCTAAGTCTTTGCTTTGTACCAAACCACATCTTTCAGTTAAAAAGTATTAAAAAGCAAAATACCTCACATGCCACCACCATTTTTTGTTCATTTCTCTCATTGTCATGGCTTTGGCAGCTAAGGACAGTTGGCTTACAGGTCACTGCAATCACTCAACTACATCTCTTCTGGTTTGTGGCTCTTTATTCAAAGGGCTATGCAAGGTGTGTCATGTATCCCGGCACTGGATGGATTAATCTGAGTGATTTGGAAGAGGAAGTATGCACAGTGTGTGTGAAAAAGTCTGCTTGCCTCACATTTCCTTCTTAGCAACTCTTGACTTGTATGTGCATGATCCATTCTCATTCAGTGTTCTGGCTACAGTTTAATAAGTAAGTGGTGGTAGTGTGGAGACAAAAACAGAAGGAAAAATCCTCATTTGACATACGCTGTTGACTGGGAAAACAAAGAGGGTGTTTTTCCTTCTCAAGTTACAATATCCAAGGATATTTCCCTCTCGCTTTTCTTCATTTGTGTCCAGAGAGGGCATCACCAGTTGAATAGACCCCATTGTTAATCCTACAGTCTTCGGTCCTTATAGAGTCTATTAATTCCTCCTCTGAATCGTCTTCCTCTTCCTCCTCTGGGGCTGACAGGCTGGATGCAGGGCCTTTACATATTTTTAAGTGGCGAGTGAGGTGATATTTGGTTAGATAAGCCTTGGAGCATTTTTCACAGACATAGTCCCTCTTTCCTTCATGTGAATTGAGATGCTTCTTCAGGTGATTTGTCCTCAGAAACAGCTTGTCACACTTGGGGCACTTGATCTGCCGTTCTCTGTAAGACATGATAAAGTTAGTTACAGTCTGCTCCTGCTACAAGGCAGCTGTTCCTGTATTAAATAGCGGGGTGGGTGGTGATAGGAAGGGTGAAAGGGTCAGTCTGACTCCTAAATCTTACTTTCAATATACCTGAAGGAGGAGCAGACCAAAAATAACAGTGCTACTAGTGTAAATACTGCTCAGTTTTCTCACACAGTACACACACATCCATCTTCCCTGAGGCAAAAGTCTGGCTTTTTAGGTTAACTGCTAGCTTGGGACCAATTGTTCTTTCCCAATGATTAACTGAAAAAGAAAGAATTCTACAAGGGTTTTGTTTGTTTGTTTGTTGAGTAAGACACAGCTCTGGTTGAGCTCCATATTTTGGCAGGGGAAGAAATGTTGCCATGGTGGAAAGGCTGGTCTCCGGCCTTCCTACCCTCCCACCCTGCATAAATGGGTGCAGAGGGGTGGGGAAAGAACAATGAAGCAAACAAAGCTGCCGAGTGTTAACAACCCTCGGTCTGTAAATGCCAAGCAGAGGCTTACCAGATTGCAGCAGTCAAATTCTGAAGATGACTCTGCAAAACACCTCCCAGCAGTAGTGCTCTGGGCATAAGAACAAGCAGCCAAGCAAGACTGTCTGTCTGCCCCTCACTCATGCTAGCTGTACTATCCTGTCTCCTAGGCAGCATTAAAGAAGTAACAATCAATTCCAAGCGAGTACAACAAACAGATGCTGAAAACAAAGTAAGCAAAATGAATGGCTTTGGGTGAACAGCCTTTAAGGGAAGACCTTGTCTTGGGAGTAACAAAGCAGGATGGAAAAACCTCACAGCAGAAGGAAAGATCTGGCCTGGCAGAGAGCTGAGGGGCAGGGGGAAGACCTGTAGGTCTGGAGTAGGAGGACCTGTGGGTAGGGATCTGCCCTGACCACGGACATCTCCCTGCAGGAGGAGCAGGAGACGAGGTGCATGTATGAGACCTGGGGGGAGGTAAAAGGTGGGAATGGCTGCACCCCACCCCAGGTGCAAACCAGTTACTCAGGATAACATTGAGGAGTTTTATGATTTTGATTTGTATGATCTATGATTGGGGTTGCGTTCTCAGCAGAGAACTAAATGTAAATCAGCTAACCCCCTCTCTCTCCAAAATGATGAACACTCCAAAATGCCATTTCACAGGACAAGGTGCATGTCTGGAATTTACTGTCATTAAAACACTGTGAAGACTAGAACAGGACAACTCCAGCCAGTAACAAGAAATTTGTCCACCTTGACTTCTCTGTCATTTCAGAGAATGAGCCTATACTCCATAGGCCAAACTATTTGCAAACTTGAGATTCTCTCTCAGACTGTCCAGCTTCATTATATATTGCACTGGCCAGTCCAATGCATCCTGTGGGATCACTTACTGCGTGTGAGTGAGTACATGCTGCTTTAGGTCCTGCCTCCGCATGAACAGCTTTTCACAGTAATCGCACTTGAGGTTCTTCTCCCCTGTGTGGATGACCATGTGCGATTCCAGGTGAGCCTTCTGGGTGAACGACTTGTCACAGAGGGTACAGCGGTAATTCTTCTGCCCTAGGATTGCATATGTACACCCACAAACTGACAGTCAGTGTCCCAGGAAATACAGTAAGCAAACAAGCCTGACCACTTCCCAGAAACACATTTTACCCTGAAAAAAAGCAGATCTGTTGTGAACAGGTCCTGTTTCCTCCTGCAGTTCCTTTAGATTCACCATACAGTCTAGATTTAGCTATGCAAAACCCAGGCATGGAATCACAGAATGGTTTAGTTTGGAAGGGACTTTCAAACTCATTTAGTTCCAAGCCCCTGCCACAGGCAGGGACACCTTCCACTAGACCAGGCTGCTCCAGGCCCCAGCCAGCCTGGCCGTGGAGCTGCCAAGGATGGGGCAGCCACAGTTTCTCTGGGCAATCTGTTCCCATTATCTGTCAGTGTCCCGTGCATCTGACTTCATCATTCCCAAAGCTTTTCATCCGCTAGCCCATGCCCCCAAGCCAAAAGCCCCACTTGATGCTACTGTTTCAAACCACCGAGCCCTTCATGAGATGCAGTTATGCACCCTTATTGGTCCTTCTAAACACCGATTCCTCCAGTGCATGTGGTCAGCCAGCCTTTCCCATAAGACAGACTTTCCGATTCTTGCCTACACGATCTGTGCCTCCCTGAGGCATATTCTGCATAACAAAACATCACCAGTAAGCTTGTAATTTTTCCCGCAAAGAGACTGAGGCAAGCACTTAAAAAGACCAGGCTTATCCAAGATGAATTCTTGAGGAAAAATAATGGTAGCCTCCCTTTTAACAGTAGCCATGGTAGCCATCTAGTTACTGTACAGTAGTACATCCCTATCTCCACTGATTTCCCACTGGAACAGTATCTGATGCCTTACTGGAGCCCAACAACATTTGATGCACTGCATTGCCTTTGTCTAGAAAAACAAGTTCTCTTACGTAACAAACACAGGTACAAAGCTCACTGGGTCTCTGGTAACTTCTGTGTTTTATCCCATTTTCCCACTTACCTGTAGTTCTTCCATTATTCTTTGCCAGAAAACCCCTACACACCACTGCATTCATACTCAGCTTGAATATCACTAGACTCCCTCTCCCACTGAGTATTCTGTGGTTGTGTATACTGCATTTGTACTTGATCAGTTTATTAAAACTCCTCACTGCTGTGCCCACAGCTTCCTGTGCTTGACTCAAGTGCACTGAACTCCCAGTTTTGTTTCCAGCTCTGTGATTTGCAATCTGTGATTCCCAATAGCTGTTTCAACCTTACTGAAAAAAGGAGGCAAAAAGATGCACACTATTGCTAGCCTGTACTTGACCTTCACCTTCTCCCTAGCCTCACACTGTGCTATATCCATGCTTTTTGTATTTCTTCTCTTCTTACACAGATGAGAAATCTTTCACTGTTTAAGCTCTTTTAATGCTCATTCACTGATCTGCTGGCAACTCTCCCTTTATCCCCAAAGGCTCTAGTGATACCCAAATGCCCACAGAAGTCAACAGCATGTTCCAACTTCAGTTTTGATGAGTGACTGACTGACCCTTATACACATCAGTCTCACCCCAGAGTCACCAATTTCAAGTCTTGTGCCATTATCTTAAGATAAAAAACAGTTCAGATAGGAAAGAGGGGAAAGATCTCAGACTTTATACCAACGCCTATAATGACAGGACAAGGGGCAATGGCTTTAAACAAAGTAGAGAAATTTAGATTTGACATAAAGAAGACATTTTTTTAGTGAGGGTGATGAGACACTGGAAGAGGTTGCCCAGAGAAGCTGTGGCTGCCCCATCCCTCGCAGTGTTCAAGGCCAGGTTGGACAGCGCTTGGAGCAACTTGGTCTAGTGGAAGGTGTCTCTGCATAGGCAGGAGAGTTGGACTAAATGATTTTTAAAGGTCCCTTCCAACCCAAAACATTCTATAATTTTATGTTTCTTAGAGCTTAGATTTATAGGCACAAGATATGCCCCGACAACTGGCCAAAGGATCAGACAGAGAAAGCCCTGCCCCAGTGTTTTACTAGCAGACGCATCTCTATTTAAAGTCCCCAGCCCTTACCTGTGTGTATCTTGAGGTGTGTCCGTAAGTTGCTAGGATCACTGAAAGCTTTGCTACAGAAATCACACTTGTGTGGCTTCATGCCCATGTGCCCCATGAAATGGACATGGAGCTTGGATGGGGAGATGAAAGCCTGGGGACACATGGAGCACTTCCACTTCCTTTCCTTGCCATGGCCTGCTCCATGGCTGCTGCTGTGCCCCTGACTGGGGAGGTGGCTGTGAATATGGCTGCTCAAATGGGCCTTGAAGTCCGCATAGGAGGCGCATTCCTTTCCACAGTGGCAGATGTGCACGTCCGGATGTTCAGGTACACCTTTGGGCACAAAGGCATCACTCTTAATGAGGCACAGCAAGGCCTAACAGAGTGTGATCCATGTTAACACTTAGTCTGCGGTAACAAAACCAGCTGCAGAGATTTTCAGCCCTGTTCCTCTCAGCTCTGATGCTTGCTTTTCAGCACTTTTAGGTAGGCCATTTCTAATGTTTTGGGGGGCCAAACTTTGGAATGGTTTTGAGCACAGCTCCACCAAACCTACATTATCATAAGCACAGATACGGGAGGATGGGAAAATCTTCAGCTAGCAAAATTCCTTTAGCACCAGATGGATGAACAGAAGAAAAACAACCCTTTTTTCTTTGAAATGGCAGTCTTTTACTCCTATCAGTGGAATTAGATAGTGAAATATTTCTTTCAGATGATGGTACTCCTGTAGTCATGGAATAGAAAAGGAAACTATGATGTGCATCACTAGGAACTGAGAAGGAACAAAAGGTACTCCCAAGTCACAGTGCCCAGAGATGGCACGAAAAGGGAACTCAAGCCAAGTACTCCCTGCAAAGCCAACAAAGATGCGTGCTTACTTACCAAGCTGTCGTGCGTAGTCCCGACTGTAATAAAAGAGAAGCTCGTGTTCAGGTGGGATGTCCCGAGAGGTGCAAAAGTAAATCTTTCCGTCATGAGGATAAGCTACGAGATTCTGCTCTTCCCGGTTCCTGTGGCAATAATGAGTGTTATGAAAAAAACCCTCCAGAAATGATGACTTGCAAAGAAAAAAAAAAAAAGAAGGAAATCCCTACAAGTAGGTAATAAGAGAACCTCAGTGCTTGTCAGGACATAAACCCCTTCATGTCTGTCACTTCTGTCCTTGCTTATTAAAGGAAAGTAAAAGAAAACTGGACCTTGAGAGCCAATCTGCTTCACTAAATGATGTCTTTTTTGCAGCACTGTGATATCTTGCTGAGAAAATTATTAATACACACTGAAGTGGGTTGAGAGAGGAGACTTTATGATCTCTTAAGGAACTACAAAAATATATATATAAAAAACATTAACCCCCTTAAGAAACAGATAACACATGAGGGAGAAATAAATATCAGTAAAGTCTTAAAGCAAAACTGTCTTCAAAAATAACTCTTGAAAAGCATTTCCAAGATGTGGTAACTCATCTTCTGAAGCTCTTTTTTGCACATATTTGTTCCCAGTACCTGAAACCAGCAAAGCTTTGCCCCACTGCAATGGTAGATCAAGCATTAAGTTCTTGACTCCTACATATAGGAGCAATGAAATTAATAGCAGGGAAAACGTACTCGTGTCACAGAGCAAGAGGAAAGCCTCCCAGTGGACTATATATGGAGCAATACTGGATAGGTTTCACTGCAGGCTCCAGAAAGACTGAAAAGGACAGTTCTTGTGTGTTGTAAGAGCCTGGAACTTGGCCAAAAGAACCCAGGAACGCTTTGTTGATAAATTATTAAAATAAAAAATACAATCAATATCAACTTCACAGATGTATCCAAAAGGAATGGGACAGAGCGAAGGCAGTAAACAAGCTAATACACAGTAAGCCAGTATAAAAAGAAGCTGGTTTAAAGCTTTAGAACAAGAGAACAAAAGTTCGTGGACAGGTTTGGGGCTGTTTTACTACAGCATGTGTACTGGCTCCCCTGTAACATTCTCCACTGGGTGCTCTGTTTCATTCTCCCCACCAGTCCAAGATGCCTGTATAACTCCTGAAGGGAAGGTCCCCTGGTCCCAAGCTCATTACCCTTCTGGGCAGTCAGTGCAGCAGTGTACATTCTCCAGCACATCCTCCTATGAGCCCACAGCTCAGACTCAAAGGTACTCAGCACAGTACAGGTGGTTCTCACCTGGCTTTGTGTACAAACATCATCCAGTTACATTCATTTTCATCAGTTGTAATGATGCAGAACTCCAGGACACCATTGTGGTAGATCTACCAGGAAAAAACAAATGCAATCTTTCTTAGGACAAAACACAGCAAGAAATGCAGTGAAAGCCAGCTTCTTTCTTTAAGAGAAGATATGTTTATCTAGAACAAGCCAAGAGGTCTCCATTGCAATTGCAAAGACCACAGCCCTGTTCTCACTTTCCCTTCCCACAGGAATCTTGACCTCTCTGCTATCCAGGAGGTTAGAAAAACTGTTTATCAGCATCCTTCCTACACACCACCTTTAGCTCCAGCAGAAATGTATTTGGTTGCTTTTCTTACAAGCAAAGTCTTGTGAATAATAGTATCTGAGCAAACAGTACATGTTTTATTTATATAGATCAATTTTACTTTCTGAACATGAAACGATGGGGGAAAGAAAAGCTTTAAAGCAGCCTTCCTAAAACAAATCATTCATCACCTGGGGGAACTTTCAATAAACAAGGATACAAAACAAACAAGTGCTACCCAGTAATTCATATTCAATCTCTATTGCAACTGCACACAAATACTGGAAACCACATACAGCCTTTTAAAAGAAAAGATGTTTGTTGTTCTTCAGAATTGATTACCAGTGTATTACACAGTATACAACTCTGCTATGCTGATGCAAAGTATTAAACAATCAAACTGCATTAAATTTGATTCTTGACAAGGAAGATAATGTTAACTCTGATGTGTCATGTGGTGACTTTCACGAGATAAAGGCATGCCTGCAGGCTCTATGAGGTGCAACATCTGCTGACCTTCCAGATGTGACTAGCTGCTTTGTCTGTCCAGTCTGCCACCTCCAGAGAATGGCTCTGCTGCCCGATCAAAGGTCCAAAACAAGTTCTTACAGGAATGGTTTCTCGTGTCCACACACCTATCAGTAGAAGACCAAAATCTGCAGAAATCAATTACTTAAACAACTAATCATGCATTACAAGGAGGTAGGAGGTTTATGAGATAATGCTCCAGGGGTAATATCTAGGCAGAAGATCATCAAAGCTTCTACTTCACATGTAAAACACACCTAAGGCAGAGACAAGAACCACCACCACCACATGACGCTATTGGGAGCCGCTTTGTTCTAATTACAAATGTTTGTTTGTCAAAAGCAAGTAATTTACTTTTCAGTAAGCTATAAAACTAAGATCCTAGCCACTGGTACCAACTCAAGTTTTCATGGCACTTTCTGCAGAAGCAGAAAATACTAGTTTCAGTAACTACATTTCGCCTACCTAATCCCCAGGAATTTCCAGAATTGTTGCTGGGCATTGTTAAGCAGCTTCTGCATTTCTCCCCAGAGGCAGCTGTATTTCTGTCATGGGCAGAGGGATTCCTGCGTGTATATTATTTATTATTAAACATTTATATATATATATGTATGTCGGTCTACATGAATACACTGAATAGCTTTTAAGAATAAACTGGAAACTAGTGCATCTTGAAAAGATGCAATCTACTCTCAACAAGCAGCATCACTAAGCAAGCCAATAATCACATTCTCCTCTAGGCTTCAGATCCTTAGGGTATTGCACTGTACTCTTCGATTTCCAGGTGACAGTGGCGTGAAATAGAGTAACAAGGTCCACATCCAATGACAAGGTCACAGTCTACATGCCAAATGTAAATAAGGGGAGAAAAAGAAAACAAACAAACAAAAAAGAGGCACTTGTGATCAATACTACAATGAGAGCATCCAGAAGACCCCCAGGTAGCAATCCAGGCTGATGAACAAGCAGACAGAAATCTCCTCCATTATTTATAACTTATCTTCCCCCAAACTGCAACTGCTGTAATGTTTGCTCATTAAAGCTGTGCCCAGGCTGCTTAGTGTGATAAAAATAAACACTGTACCTTGCTTGTGCTTGACCTTATGAAGTATTTCAGTAACACTGTGGTAGCATGCCTAGAGCCTAGCTGAAGTCCAAGCAGTAATGAGAGGACAAGAAGCTCTTCACAATGTAAGGGCGATTAGAGAAGAGGGAACCACCTCTCTATTGCATTATTTCTTTCCCACATTAAAATCCCTGTGGTTTTGGATTTCAGGCAGTGAGTGTATTTTAAACGGCTGCATAGAAATACAGAGTAATCTGATTCTTACCCGCTTCAGCTCCCATGATGGACTGCCGGAGGACGAGCTGCTTAGGGAGAGAAAGCCTGGCTCGGCTCTCTATTGGGGTGTCAGGGACAAAGGTGACGGGCCCATGATCTGGGCAGTCTGATGGATACGCCTTGTCACACAGTGTACACCCTGCAGGGAGGGGAAGGGACAACAGGGATTAAAAAGATGCAACAACCCTGACAGTGCAGTCAGGTTCCTCCCATTCATCTTATCAGAATCTTCAGCCGCGCTCCTGCCACAGGCTGCTTCCATGTGGTTTAACTTGTCAGCTCTACTAGTGTAAAACCAGTAAACTAGGACAGACTAGCTTTTACTCAGAAGAATACAAAGCATACTATTACAGATGGGCACTGACAGACATGTCACCCATGTCATCGTTCATATCCAATTCAGATCAAATGTGAGGATCTCCACTGACTTTCCCAATGGCAGATTAATCACCTCTATTCTCAGTTATCCCTGCTTGGGGCAATCTAGCAATGGGACAGAGTCCACACTTCATAAAAACTACGGCAAAGTGGATGGTAGTCTCCCAAGAATTGGAAGTAATGCTGATGATGAAAGAGCCACTTTCTGATCACAAGTGAAATGACCTTTATTGCCAAAAAAATCCAAGCCAAACACTTTCTATCTGGTTATGGTTTTGGAATTTACCAGGAACACGCGAGTTTTCTTGCATGTAGAACCTCAAGAATATTCCTGCAAAGGGACAGTAAAGCCTTCCTGCTAAACTTTGTCTAATTTGAATGTACAAATCCCCTTATCTCCATTTAAATTCAGACAAAGTGCAAATCTTCATGGCAGCAAAAAACTGACCTCAGTGCTGCTTTTGAAGGACTCACTGCACTACACTCATACAGTATACCTCTGAGGGATGCCACTGAATAGAACAAAAACAAAAGCCCAAGAAAAATCACTTTCCAATCTATCACTCAGCAATAAGTACTGCTGAAAAATAAACCTCCGGAAGTCCTCTAACAGATCTAATAAATTCAGGAAAAAGCACAGCATAAAATGCTCTCATCTAGAAAAAATATGCCATTTTAATTCTCTATGAATGGAACAACCAACACCTATTCAGCAACCACCCTCCTGATAAATCATTCTTCTTCCGAGGAAAGACGCTCAGCTAATTAAGCAAGATCTCCACAAAGACCTTCTTTAGCCTCTTGATGCTCCAACTTCAGTATAAAGACCTACCATACAAGTAGCCTTCAGCGAGCAGAAACAGCAGCTCCATTATTATTTGTTCAAAGAGCTTTTTGGGACAATCCCTTCATACATCAGAGTACCATAGACTGTCCCCATACAACGCACAGTTTGAGCAGCTACACAGTTACAGATAGGAAGGTACTCAGAAAATTATTAGGTAGGGCTTACAAAAGCATTGCTTCATGTGCACAGATGACATGTAGGAGTACAGCAACAACAGCCAGACCTGACTAATGAGAAACACTACCTGGACCCGCTGTTTTTAAGCACTGCCTAGCACACACGACTACAGCTCTGTGGAGAGGTCTAGCCCCAGAAAGAGGCAAAAAGGAAGTAAAGCAAGTTCCAGGCATCTGACCCCTCCTGATAGAAAGACTTAAGGATTCATACATTTTTAATAAGTTGAAAAAGAAAAAATCCTAACATTTTACAGGAAGCAAAACACACCATTTCCTTTCCACTTCTGCCCTTGCCAAATAGTAAATAAAAATAAATTAAAAAAAAAATAAAATCACAGTGATTACTTCTCTGATTTGGGTGCACAGAACTCTAAGCCAAGATCAAAGAAAGAGCTACTTAAAAGTTTCAGAAACATTTAGGACTGTAGCAAAGGCACACTGTTTCCTTCCTGCTCAGGAACAGTGTAAAATGCTTTCTAAAAAGGGCCATGACTCCTGCCTTCTTAATAAAGAAAAAACACCAAAAGGCTCTAAAACAACTCCTCCTCCTCCTTGCTGTCACTTGTCTGGACACAAGTTCATGTTTTATTCAGGAGAAGTTTAAAACCAACAACAAAAAGTTAAAATTTAAACCTTTCCAAGTCAAAGACCTATTTTGCAAATCCCATGAAAGCAGCAGGCATGCAACAGCTGCTGTAACATCCTACCAATGGGGACCATCATCTGGGAAACAGGACTGTTTATGCATAGTGACAATAGGCTGGCACATTGAATCTCACTTAGGTAAAAAAAAAAGAAGTGATTTCATCATGAACATGTTAGATATCACAGTATTTTGACCATTATTTGTTCAACATGCAACAGATGTATGTAAGAATTTCGGACTGCATCAACTGTAAAACTCTTCCTCTAGGAATCCCACAGAATACAAGTTTTAATTCAAATTCACTTTGCACTAAACTGCACCTCAAGCATTGCTAACCAAGGCACTCTTTCTTTCCATTCCGTAAGAAATGTTCTCCAGGCAAAGCTTGTCACAAGGCTCAGCACTCAGCAATGCCACCACAACTAACAAAACTGAATATAAAAGCTGGCCTTATGCAGTCTCTTCTCTCAAGTAACAAGCAATAGGACAAGAGGTAATGACCTCAAGCTGGGCCAGGGATGTTCAGACTGGACACTAGGAAACACTTCTTCACCAAGAGAGTGATCAAGCATTGGAACAGGCTGCCCAGGGCAGTAGTGGAGTCACTGTTCCTGAAAGTGTTTAAAAACCATGTAGGTGAGGCCCTCAGTGACATCATTTAGTGGTGGCCTTGGCAGTACTGGGGTAAAGGTTGGACTCTAATCTTAAAGGTCTTTTCCAACCTGATTCTATGATTCAGTGGCAGGAAGCCAGACACACCATGGGTGGAAGTTCAAATCTCTGTCCCACCAAATGAGAACTTTGCAGTTCTCCAGCACCACTCTTTGAATGATGTCAGGACTGAATGAGTGTGATGTCCAGTATTCCTCTCTTCTTAGGAGATCAACTAACCTCTGGACTGAAGTCTTTTGATAAGAATAACTGGAAATATTTAAACTTCCCTCCCTCTCTGCAATTTTTCCCAGCAGGTCCTGTTGACAACATCATTTTCATGATGATTGTTCATAGTTTAATAATAACATCATACTCAAACAATTATACCAACTTGATGAAATGTGTGGCTTTTGGTGGCGTTTATTATTTTTTCAATGGAGCAAGAAGAGTAATTTGTGATGTGACTTTAAAAAAAAAAAAAAGACTTATTGCAAAGGGTAATATCAGCATACCACAAAAGGCTAAAGGTTCATAAAAAACTCAGCTTCCAACCTCAAGGCAATATGGGAGATGGATACAGAAAGAACGACACTAAAACACCCTATTAAGTCCACTTCCAAATACTGTCGTTTCAGCATGGTTAATCTGCCACTGCAGATGTTCCAAGTTTCGTGGAGTTGCTAAATAACTAAATTTCTTCAACCAGAAATCTTTCATACTAGCAACAAGAGTCATGCCATCCCACCAGACAACAGCTGCGTAAGAAACCCCACCCCAAGAAAGCAGGAAATGCCCACTCACATATGGTAAACAAGGTTGCCATGTTCTCCTTGTTCGAATTGGAGTCTTCCATTTGCAGAGAGGATGGTACGAAGGCAAGATTGTCTGCAGACACATCCACATGACTTGGGCCCATGGCTACTTCCTGATTCATGGAAGAGACTGCCACCGGCTCAAGGCTGAGGCCCACTTCGTGCAAGGCTACCGAGTCCAGAGAAGCTAGATTGTGTGAGGTAGAGAGCGCCACACTCACAGAGTTGGTGCTCATGGCCACAGTATGAATGGAGTCATTTAGTGTGCTGTCCGGTATTCCTGCCACCCGCCCAGCCATGTGGTCAGGCTCCATGACGACAGGCAGTTCCAAAGTGCTACCGTGAATGGGAATGACACCGCCGTGTCCCACAGGGTCCGATGTCAAGTTACTCCCCACCGTGTCTACGGTTAAAGATTCATGGCTCCGGGAGCCATTTGGGATCTGTGAATGATCCCCAGCTACGTCATCCATGGTAAGTTCCTCTGCCATCCCATCTGTAGAGATGGGGCTGGTGACCCTCGATACGCTCTCCATAGTGATTGTAGTATCCAGAGCTACCTCGTGGCCGTCACTAGGGTGCAGATTTTGAGCACCATGGGTGTTCACTGTGCGGGAGTCCATGGAGACAATCCCTGGTTCCAGCCCCACAGTTCCACTGGGCTGGTAGGGATCTAGGGCTGAGGGATTGCTGGGGACTGACAGTGCTGGATTGCTATCCACATTTATAGTGTTAGGATGGATGTACTGAGGCGGAGGTCTGTCAGCCAAGTAAGATAAAATACCTGACAGAATGAGAGGAGGAAAGAGAAGAGAGTGAGATAACACTGGTTTTCAAATCTTGAACAAAAATACCCCACCATCGCAGCACAGTATTTTAAGAACTAGCTCCTTTAAGACATGTTCTTTACATTGCGCCCAATTAAAAACCACTAATTCTAAAACATGGCTCACAAACATATGCCAACCCAACACTCTTGTCAAAGTATCATTTGAAACAAATACAGAGCTTCCATGCAACACGGCAAGTCTCTAGTTATTTGTCAAACCCTGAAGAGCCAAGCTTCTGGCAGCATTTAACCCAGGCTCTTCAGTACAATGACTGAATTAGAAAGAAGTTGTTCACATTTTAGGCATAATTTTTCATTCTTAAGAAATAGCTCACGAAGGATGAAGGACTGCTATAGGAATCTATTATCTGATAATCTTAGGTTTATCTTTGCTAGAAATAGAAACAGTTCTCCATGATACATCCTTTTTTGCTTAGGTATTTAACAATGACTACTTCCTTCCTCTATGACTAAAGTGACACAACTGTCCATCTCAGAGATCATCAACTACAATTCTGAAGGACCAAGATAAGGTCTCTCAAAGGTATTGTGAGTAATCTGCTCTCTTTCCTTATGTGTAAAGTATGCTATTTCTCCTGAAACAACAGACCAGTTAAATTCAAATCAGAAACCCTGATTCAAATCTTTTCTCGAATTCTGGAAAGCTTCTCAACATCAACCAACCTTAGAACTGAAGATACAAAGATATACTAAGCTATATTTACATGCTACCAACTTCTCTTGTTGGATAAAGCTGGAAAAAAAAAAATCTTTGGAAGAAATACATCAGCACATTCAAGTAAACAGCAGTGGCAGAGATGGATTTTGCAGATTCTGCAAGATCTGAGTCAGCACATTTCTTTCTGGCCTTGAACCCTACCAGCCATTTGTTATGTAAAAATTTTCCATTCAAACATGTCCATTATTACAAGGATGCATGCATGGATACTCCTTCTACAGCATCATCCCATTAAAAGTGGCTAAGCCAAGAAGTGGACAGTTGAATTTAACCAGCTACATGAACTATTTCTACATGCAATGCTGCCTTGAAAAAGGCCTGAAAAAGAAGGATCCTTGACAGCAGCAAGATGACTGACAGAAAAGCCCAAAACACATTTCTGCATAAATTATTCCAGCTCAGAAGAATAGCAAATACCTTTGGTCCCTAAATGCACTGTCACCTCTTCTACGCTTTGCCCACAAAATGGGCTGGCATGTAATGCAGTAGGAAAGGTTACTCCTAAACAGCTGCTCAGTTCAGCCACTAGTTAACACTAGTTGGATGAAATCTGGGCTGCTATATTTCTTTTCCTAACCTAGGCTAAACTAACAACACTCACTGCGTGACCTTGAAGACATTTATCTACTCCCTTCCACCCTGTCAATCTTAGCCACAAACCAAAATAAGGACTACATTTAAAGCTCAGACTTCTGTCTTCACAGAAATAAAATTCTGCATTTATACTCTAAAGCACATGTGAGACAGGACTCAAGATAGAAATCAGTGTGTTAGGCCTTTGAAAATCAACCTCGACCAAAAATAAAGAGAATTATGTCATAGGCTAAACGGGAGGGAAAATGCCCTAACTCCTCAGCTGATGGCTTGCTCTTTTTCACCTCTGAACTACTGCAACCTACTTGTTATGCACATATTAAGTATGGCTTCAGACTACAGGAGAAAAAAAAAAGAAACAGCTTTCAAACTACAAGCCATCTAAGGTACAAAACAGGCATGCTTTGTTTTTTGTTAATCTTTAAAACAAAGCAGCAGGAGGAGTGATAAGAGGTCAGGTGTCAGTAGAAAATTACCTACAATTCATACACATGTATAGCAACAGAGACCTGAAAATAAAGGTGTGTAAATGACACAACAGACTCCAGACAAACTCAGGGAATTTACAGCTCTGCAAAATAATCAGTCTCACCTGCTTCAGGACAGAAACAAGTAGCTCTTAATTAAATTTATATTGCTCTTCCCACCCATCAGCATCGCACTACTTACCAGGTAGAATGTGTCTGAAATAGCTGCTCTCCAGGTGAGGGTATGGTGGTGGAGGTAGGGTGTAGTTTCTCTCTGGTATACCACACATAACTCCTCGATCTCCAATACCCATTGGGAGCATCAGAGACAGAGCAGAGGGCAAGGAACTCAAGGAGGGGCCCAAGTTTGGAATTGCAACAGGCAAGCCTGCAAAAGAAAATGCCTATTTAAATCCAGTGGAAGTACTTGAATTTACGAACACACAAGCTAACAAAGAGGTTACTAATTCCTCAGGAGTTTCCTATGGATGTACAGTATGGTACTGTCAAAGTAAGGTGGCAAGCTTCGAAGAAAGGATCACATCACAACACCAAGGGACATCCCTTGCTGTTGTGCCTGAATGTGGCTACATCTTTTTTTGGTACATTATGTAGGGCCTGCTACTACTTCACAGCTGTAATGGACTTTTGTCTCTGTAGCCCCCTGAAGAAAAGAGCTAGGAAAGCAGTTCTGCTTTACAGGTGAAAAATCATTATTTTCACTTGACTGAAGTCAGACCTAGATGGGGGCAGTCTACATTTCAAAGGATTATACTACTACCCACACAGAGTGCAAACCACCACATTAGAACAAAATGAGACTCCCATTAAGGCATAAGTCTGGTAAGCACACATCCCTTTTGCTTTGCCCACCAATGTTTTATGGTCTACCCTTTTCCATATCACCTCATTTCCTGCCATAAAGACATGACTTGCTATCAGAGCAAGCACTGCTACCTAATTATGAACACTCGTGTGACAGTCAAACACTGAGCATGAGCTGCAATACCCTCTGTGGGAGCTTTCTCCATTACCTGGTGCTGGTATGGCGTTGTGAGTGGGTGACGCTGCCAACCCCAAGTGACTCCCAGAGACCGGCAGGGCATTGCTCACAGAGGATGAGGTCAGCTGGTCCATCCCTACAGTACTCAAGTTCATTTCATTCATTCTGAGGGCAGGGAACAGAGACGGGAGGGGAAAAAGAGAAAGAGAAGCAAGAGCAGTCCTGATTACTGACTGTACTGGGCTGAGTAAACAAACTAAAAATCAGATACCGACACGTTAAAAACTCTGCCTTAGAATGCTAAGCATAAAGTACATCAGCCACACACACCGTGATCACATCAATACATATTGATCATATCAGATAGCAATAACTAGGATTGAAAAGCCAGTTCAAAAAGACAGATCAGATCAGACCATAACTTTTTCCTCGCCATCCAGAAAGTCTCACTCCTAGTAGTCAAAGCTACTGTGACTGAAGTATTGTGAACACAGATCTATTTGCAAGCTGAACATCACAATTATTTGGGCAATGGCATCTGATTTATATTTCAAGACTTCTGGACACCACATTCATGTTCAAAAAACAAACCTTAGGGGAGAGGAGTGGGAAAGATCACTTAACATTTGTAATAGACACAAACCCTCTAATTCGAACCACCAGTTCAAACCAGGCCAATAGTGACAAGAGTCACTGCTGCAGAGTTTTAACAGGCTGTCTCAGTCTGGTTCTGCAGATATATCGCATGCTCCTACCACATCAAAAATTGGCACCATGGATGACACTGTATTTCAGAGCGACCAACCAGTCTTTCTTGAGTGCCTGCAACCTCTTAAGCTACTCAAGTGGGCATACACCACATGCATGGCTCTAATGCTGCAGACAATTCCAGGCTGCCCAATAGCCCAAATCCCCAGCCTTGGCAGAAACCATGTGGGCTCGGGGCACATCTGTCCTCTGCGGTGTCAAGCTGCACGTGCAGCCTGAACCAATCCATGGGGATGAGGACACTGAGGAGACACGATCACCTCTCACCTGTCAAAGCTTTGCAAGCTCTGCCTGGCCTTAGCTCTGCTCACCCAGGTGCTCCTGCCCACACACCAGCTCTCATCAGCATTTCCTTGGGTACCAGAAACGCCGGCTGCCCTCACTGCGGTCAACCCCAGCAGCAAAACCCCACGCTGACTGAGCCTCTCACATGCCCCTTGCAATCAGCAGGCCCAAGCTCTGCAGTACCAACAGAGAGCTGGAACTTGGGTTGACACTCGGTCAAGGAAAGGTACCGCTCACAATGGAGAAACAGCCAAATACACCAAACTCACACAAGTTAACCCAAAGGTCTGAGCCGCACAAACGGAGTCACCGACTTTCACGTCGCTTCTGCCCAGTTTTTGCATCGCAAAGCCTGCCCTTGTCAACCGCCCCACTCTATCCAGGACAGCTTTACAAGGACGTCGCCGAGGGGTCCTGCTATCCGGCGGGGCAGGCACATACGCCCACCCCTGGCCCAAACGGCTCCTGAGGGTGGTGATACCCGTAGGAAAGACCCGGGACCAAGCCTCAGGGCCTGAGGACAGGCTGAACGCTCTAGGGACCCCCTCCCCTCCTCGCCCCTCGGCCGACGTGCGCGCCGCCGTCGCAAGGCCCGAGGTGCCCGGTATCCGCCCAGCCCACCTCCCCCGGCTCCCCGGCGGACGCTCACCTGGGGTGCATGGGGACCGGCACCTCTCCCTGCGGCGGAGCAGCCGCAGCCGCATCAGGGCCCTCAGCCCCGGCCCGCCGCCGCCCCTGGGGCAGGCGCCTGCCCCCGGCCCGGCCGCAACCACCGCCACCGCCGTCGCCGCCTCATGGGCGGGGCCGCGAGTGGCGCGGGCCCGGCCACCGGTGAGGGGGGAGCGGGGCGGAGGAGGCGGGAGAGGGAGGCGGTGATGGCGGAGACGGCGGGAGGGGGACGGTGGCCGCTTCCGCCGCCGAGCGCCACATCCAGGAAGCGGCGCCACCGCCCCGGAGTTCGGGCGCTTCACCCGGGCCGGCGCCTCCGGCGGGGCTCGGTCATGGGTGGAGAAAGGGTGCCTGCGGGGCCCGCCCGGCTCCTTGTCATCCCTGACAGCCGCCGGCCCACCACTGCCCGTGCCGACTCCCTGGCAGCCGCCGCGGGGCTCGGCACCAGCCACAGTGCTGGAGGCCGGGCAGGCCTGCCTTCGGTGTACCTCAGCAGCGCTTCGGCCCCTTCCACCGCCTTATCTCCAGATTGCTCCCAGCACTGGGGTGGGAGCCGCGCAGGTTCACGGTAGTTCTCCCTTTCCGGAGGAGCAGCTCGGTTGGCACTGCCCAGGCATAAAGCGTTAATCCCCGGCCTGCTCTGCTGACCAAAACCCCCTGCCCTTGTTACATGCACTACCTCTTTCAGAAGGGTGCGATGCTAACTCTTGGTTTTCTTCACAATAATCGGCAGCTCTCTCGCTGCTTTCTCATTACGCCCTCATGTCTGCTGTCATTAGAGGGTTGTGGTTCATATCCTCTGGTACGGTAAGCCTGTACGTCCCCAACTGCCTTCTGCACGCCAACTGTTGTTGTTATCTAGGATTTATGGTTGGTACAATTCCTGCTAAGGCTACATTGCAAAGGGATGTCTTGATACGTGCAAGTGGTTTTGTAGCTTGCTTTCTCACCTGTGAAACAAGGGTATTCATCACATACACTGCCCAGATCAATCTGCAAGTTCCGCAAGTGCCTGGGTGGACAGCTGTTTCCTGAAACACCGTAATGTGGTTCTGTAGTTTTATCGTGCTTGACACTTACAATGCCTTACTAAATGAGACATCTCTTGATAGGATGTCAGCACAGGAGGAAACTTTAGTTATTTTTCTGCCCGCTACCTTTTGATCTAAAGAACTTAAATGTAGGATCTGGAAGGGTCATTCCAGTTCAGTACAAACCCATTGGTTCTTCTAAGGGTGGAAATATGCTCTCCTCACTTGGCTTTAGCTATCAGGAAGTAAAACACCTTGTATAGGCTAGGTCTTCAGGCTGTTTCAGTAGGTGAAGGAGAGAAATAGGCTGCTGCTTAGAGTGCTTCATCTCACCCTGAGCTGGATGTCTGAGGTGAGTGAGAAGAATTTGGAGCTACTTACTGGGACCTGCGTATTTAGTTTAGCCTATCACTTATAGAGAACTACATTTAAGCAAAGTAAATACAGGTCTCTGCCATTCATGACCAAAACAATGACCTTATTTAGTTTACCTCATACCCTATAACATCTCCTCCACTAAGCCAGGTAATCCTTCCTCTAACCATGACTGAGTGTATCTGATTTGACTCACAAACATATTTCATCAAGTCAGGAAAGAACTCATCAAGTCATCAGGTTTTTAGGGACTGCTAAACTTGTGAGGGATGGGGGGGGGGGGTAATCCGTGCTTCATTTTTATGTATATAGTACCACATATTCACATGGTTGGTGCTAGTATTTCACATCTTAGAAACTCCAGCAAATGATTACAAGCCTAAAAGTCTCTCTCTTCACATTGCATTCCCCAGTATGTAGGAGATGACTGGAGACCTTCCATTTTCAGTTGCCATCCTTTCAACTTCACAGTTATACTCAGTACATCCCAATTCTGTCCCAGAATGCTAGGTTATCCCAAGCTCTCAGCTTGCCTTAATGCCATTTATGATAGTTCTAGTGCAGAAGTGCCCTGGTGCTGAAATCCTGATGCTATTTCAACTGTCTGAGCTGAAAGCAATACTTTGAGCCTATGAGACAGATTGGATATTATCGTACGCAGATAAGAGTGTGTTTTCCTACTGTCAAACATGAGTCCTCTGAGATTCCAGCTTTTTCTGTAGTCACTTTACTCCCTTGAACGAGTGATATCTTAACTACCAGTCTAAAGCAGAAGTATCAAAGGAAGCCAGTGATAATATAAAGTGTCAGTGAATGAGAAATTAATCTGTGTCTACAGAGATGTATGTTGCACGCCCAAGGTATTGTGATAAAATACATTTTAGAACTGTTTTTTCTGCAAGGGAAGATATTTTTTTTTATATACCGAGCACTTTTATTGTATGTGAAGTGTTTTGATAAGACAACTGCACTATGTCCCCTGAAAGCTTAGTTTATTGACATTTATAGCAGTACTTGCTGTGTGAGGAACAAATTGCAGAGCTATTTTTCAAGTAGTCTTCAGATCCTGGAGATGTACTGAAAGATAAGGGAGACTTATAAAACCACAGGGAAAAGAGATGCAGTAAGCTCGCTTCAGTCCTTCTCTTTAGTGTGAGCTGAAATCCCTGCTGGACCATGCCCACATTTCAATACAATCAGTTCTCTTCTGCTGTCGCAAACTTGCTGTTGGGTTCCTTCTCAGGGTGAGCAGAATTACACAGAACAAAGATTATGCAAAAAGCCAACATGGAAGCCAGCCATTTTAACATCAAAAATCCAAATTTTTCACCATCTTTATTGGCTACTCAGTGCTTTATAGGTGTGTATTTTGGTGATAGTCACAGCATTAAAGCTGGATAGTTTAGGTGCAGCTCTCACTGCTAGCTATAGAGCTGGAAAGGGATGGCTCATGCTTAAGGATAAAACAGGATTAGAGAGGCACAGAACTACTCGATCCTGTATTCCTGGATCTCAGTCTAAATTGCAGTTATTACTCTAATTCTGTGGTATGCCGTTAACAAGAGAAACTGCTAATTTCACAGTTTCATATCTGTTAATGAATTGCAGCAGCCCAGACTAACTATATGTCGTGGTTTAAACCCAGTCAGGTAACTTGTTCACTCACTCCCAGTGAGTGGTGCCGAGCTGACAACAATCGAGGTCCGTGTCCATCTCCCCCCCCCCTGCACCGGGGCTCTCCCCTTCCCCGCTCCTGGACGAACGGGGAGGAGGATCGAGAGAGTGCAACTCCTACGGGTTGAGACAAGAACAGTCCAGCAACAAATCACCACCGCTACTATCAGCTAAAACAATGATAAGGGAAAATAACAAGGGAAGAGAATACGATACCACCGGCCAAGAAAGCGAGTTCCACCCAGAAGCTCCTGTCCTTCCGGGTAACTCCCAGTTACCCCCCACCCCGGGCATGACGTGCTGTGGTATGGAATACCTCCCTGGCTAGCCCGGGTCAGGCGCCCCGTCTCTGCTTCCTCACAGCTTCCCCTCCTCCCTGGCAGAGCATGAGCCTCACAGAGTCCTTGGTCAGGGTAAACATCACTTAGCAACAACCGAAAACATCGGCTTCACCAACACTGTTCTCAAACTAGAAGTCAAAACACAGCACTGCACCAGTTAACACAAAGGAAAAACATGACTGCTACTGCTGAACCCAGGACACTATAATATGTATTGTAAATACTAGAATTTGGTATGATTATAGCACAGTAAAATATAACAAATCATAGAATGGTTTGGGTTGGAAGGGACCTTAAAGCTCATTCAGTTCCAACTCCCTGCCATGGGCAGGGACACCTTCCACTAGACAAGGTTGCTTAAAGCCCCTTCCAACCTGGCCTTGAACACTGTCACAGAATCACAGAATCACAGAATCCTAAGGGTTGGAAGGGACCTCAGAAGATCATCTAGTCCAACCCTCCTGCAAGAGCAGGGTAACCTAGAGTACATCACACAGGAACTTGTACAGGCGGGCCTTGAATATCTCCAATGTAGGAGACTCCACAACCCCCCTGGGCAACCTGTTCCAGTGCTCTGTCACTCTCACAGTAAAGAAATTTTTCCTGATGTTCACATGGAACCTCCTATGCTCCAGTTTACACCCATTGCCCCTTGTCCTGTCACTGGACATCACTGAAAAAAACCTAGCTCCATCATCCTGGCACTCACCCTTTACATATTTGTAAACATTGATGAGGTCACCCCTCAGTCTCTTCTTCTCCAAGCTAAAGAGTCCCAGCTCCCTCAGCCTCTCCTCATAAGAGAGATGTTCCATTCCCTTAATCATCTTTGTGGCTCTGCGCTGGGCTCTTTCAAGCAATTCCCTGTCCTTCTTGAACTGTGGGGCCCAGAACTGGACACAATATTCCAGATGCGGCCTCACCAAGGCAGAGTAGAGGGGGAGGAGAACCTCTCTTGACCTACTAACCACACCCTTTCTAATGCACCCTAGGATGCCATTGGCCTTGGCCACGAGGGCACATTGCTGGCTCATGGCCATCCTCCTATCCACCAGGACGCCCAGGTCCCTTTCCCCTTCACTACTGTCCAGCAGGTCAGCCCCCAGCCTGTACTGGTACATGGGGTTGTTCTTCCCCAGATGCAAGACTCTACACTTGCCCTTGTTGAATTTCATCAAGTTTCTCCCCGCCCAACTCTCCATGTTGTCCAGGTCTCGCTGAATGGCAACACAGCCCTCTGGTGTGTCAGCCACTCCTCCCAGTTTAGTATCATCAGCAAACTTGCTGAGGGTGCATTCAGTTCCCTCATCCAGGTCGTTGATGAAAATATTAAACAGCACTGGTCTCAGCACCGACCCCTGAGGGACTCCACTAGTCACAGACCTCCAGCTAGATTCTGCCCCATTGACCACAACTCTCTGCCTTCTTCCTTCCAACCAGTTCTACCTGATCATCAAGCCCACACTTCCTTAGCTTATCTATGAGGATGCTGTGGGAGACAGTATCAAATGCCTTACTGAAATCAAGAAAAACCACATCTACCGCTCTACCATCATCCATCCACCTAGTTACTTGCTCATAGAAGGCTATAAGGCTGCTCAAACATGACTTCCCCTTGGTAAAGCCATGTTGGCTGCTCTTAATGACCCCCCTCATCCTTGATATGCCTAGAGATGGTATCAAGAATAAGTTGTTTCATCACCTTTCCAGGGATGGAGGTAAGGCTGACCGGTCTATAATTACCCGGGTCCTCCTTCTTTCCCTTCTTCTAGATCGGTGTGACATTTGCCATCCTCCAATCCCCAGGCACCTCTCCTGTTTCCCACGACTTACCAAAGATGATGGAGAGTGGCCCAGCAATGACCTCTGCCAGCTCCCTCAGCACCCACGGGTGTATTCCATCCGGACCCATCAATTTATAGATGTCCAGATTACTTAACTGATCCCTAACCCAATCCTCATCTACCAAAGCAAACTCCTCCTTTATCCTGACTCCTCAGGCTACAGGAATCTGGGTCCCCTGGGGAGAGTCTGCAGGAGTAAAGACAGGGGCAAAGAAGGCATTCAACACCTCTGCCTTCTTTACATCCTCTGTCTCCAGGGCACCCACCTCATTCAGCAGTGGGCCTATACTGCTTCTTGTGTTAGTTTTATTCGCTATATGTATTTGAAGAAGCCCTTTCTATTGTCCTTGACCCGACTTGCCAGATTAAGTTCCAAGGAGGCCTTAGCTGTCCTAATTGCTTCCCTACATCCTCTAACAGCTGTCCTATATTCCTCCCAAGTGGCCAGCCCCTCCTTCCATAATCCATAGATTCTCTTTTTCTGTACGAGTTTGCCCAGCAGTTCCTTGTTTAACCATGCTGGTCTCCTGGCTCCCCTACTTGACGTCCTACTCATTGGGACACTCTGATCCTGAGCTCTGAAGAAGTGGTCCTTGAATGCTGACCAACTATCTTGAGCCCCTTTACCACCTAGTACCCTTTGCCATGATACTTCCCTTAGCAATTGATTGAAGAGGCCAAAGTTTGCCCTTCGGAAATCCAGAAATGTGGCCTTGCTAGGTATTCTATTCCTCCCACACAAGATCCTAAACTCCACCATCTCATGGTCACTGCAGCCCAGGCTGCCACTGACTGTCACTACTTCAACCAGACCCTCCTTGTTGGTGAGTACCAGATCCAGCAGCGCTCCTCTCCTAGCTGGTTTGTCCACCATTTGCATTAAGAAGTTATCATCAGTGCACTGGAGGAACCTCCTAGACTGTGAATGACTGGCTGTGTAAGTCTTCCAGCAAATATCGGGGTAGTTAAAATCCCCCATAAGGACCAAGTCAGGGATGAGGCACCCACAGCTTCTCTGGGCAACTTGTTCCAGTGACTCAGAACCCTCACAGTAAAGAACTTATTCCTAATATCTAGTCTAAATCTACCCTCTTCCAGTTTAAATCCATCCCACCTTCTCCTATCACTACATACCCTTGAAAAAAGTCCCTCTCCATCTTTCTTATAGGCCCCCTTTTAGGTACTGGAAGGCTGCTATAATGTCTCCTTGGAGACTTTTCCAGGCTGAACAAGCCCAACACTCTCAGCCTGTTTTCGTAGCAGAGGTGCTCCAGCCCTCTGAGTATCTTTGTGGCCTCCTCTGGACTCACTCAAGCAGGTCCACATCCCTCTTGTGTTGGGAGCCCAGGAGCTGAATGCGGTACTGCAGGTGGGGTCTCACCAGAGTGGAGCAGAGGGGGATAATCACTTCCCCCAACCTGCTGGTCACAGTGGTGAACAATGTTGTGACGGTTTCTTTTTAAACTCCTGATGTAATTTCTTTTTCCCTCTCAGTAGTGTGTTCACAGGTAATATAGTTGAGACATCATCTATTGGGAAATAGGTGGACTCAGCTGACTCTTGTGTTTCTACTACAATATTCCCATGGATGACTTTCTTTTCAGACACAGAGGGACACAGTGTCAAGGAGAATCTGTTGCTTTGAGTAATTCAAAGTAATGCAAAGCAATCACTGTGTAGTGTCAGTCGTGTTATTCATGATTCTTGTGGGAGTGTGAATGAGTTGAGGGTTCTTTTGTACAAATGTTACATTCTTGTAGATACTGTGTTAGGATATATGCAATTAAAACCACAACTAAGTTAGATCTGGAAGTAAGATGCTTCAATGTTTTGTTTTTAGGCATGTCAGAAATACTTTCTATTCATTTTGGCTATGTAATTAGGTGAAGTAAAAGGAAGGAAAGAAGGAAGGGAACCTCTTTGAATGTCAGTGGAGTATGTAAGGAATCTTCCAGCATCACCATTTAAACTTTGTATTCAAAAAAAGCAAACAAAACAAAAAACAAACAACAAAAACCAAACAAAAACAAAACCAAAACATACAATATATATAGAAACAGTGCAACTTGTGTCATTGCAGAACAGTGAATGACACCTGGTTTGTACCACCTGGAAAGCAAACCAAGCCATCTGCTTTGTATCAGCATGAAGGATATTGCATTCTGGAGTAAAAGCATCATCAAGGCAGAGGTGTGAGGAGGAGTTCATTGGAGAAACAGTGTAAGAAATAAGATCAAAGGTTTGTCTTAGAAGAGGAAAGAGTCTTAACCTACTCTTAAAATTAAAAGGAATATGTATTAGCCTGTCACTTTGGTGGGCCAGTCCTGCTACTTTCACTGAGCCTGCATGTGCAGACATGTTGAGAAGGGTCTGCTTTGTGCAGAAATCGGTATGGAAATGATACATTGCTTTAATCTGCTTGTGCTCTCAACAAGGACCTTCGGGGGGATGGTAAGGTGCATTGGCCTTGTGCTGGCTCCCTGCCCAAGGGCAAATCCCTTTCTGAGCAAGTGGCATTAGAGCATCAACAACGATACAACAAAAGCCTGTGGCATATATTCTTATTTCTCTTGCACACAGACAAAACCAGACTACAGAGTCCATTTGATATGAGATCAGCTTCAATCATTCAGATTCATAAGTAACATTCACCTGTTATGAGATCAGCTTCAATCATTCAGATTTGTAAGTAACATTTACCTGTAGTTTTTCTTCATGTATTTCTCTAGAGGTTTAACAGTGCGGATTTTCCTGTAGGAAGAACAGATGTCTGTTTAGTACAGGTGCAATTCTGACACTCTGGGAAGTGCCAGTGACCTGCATTTACAGTAAACATAGAAAAGAGGTGTGGTGGCAGAAAATAGTGCATTTGCATGACAGAACTGAAATGTAACCCTGCCTTTTGAACATGGCTAGTCTTTGGGCAAGGTCATAGAGATCTGTGAAATGATCTGGCATCTGAGACCCCTGAGAGGCATGCTTCCATTTCCTCACAGGAATACTGCTAGGGAGCAGCATTTTAAGTGTAATAATGACACAAATTAGATGGCATTTTCCTACTTCGGGTATCTGGCTAGAGGCTGACATCCTCTTTGTTTTAAGAAACCTCTAAGTCCTTGTCTCCCTTAGTGCTACAGTGAATGAGTTATTTTCATTTCTAAGCATTTAATGAATAAGCATTCATTTCTGAAAACATTTGTACTGGACAACAGAGTTTGTAGTGCAAGTGAAAAGCCTGGACTGTTCAACTGTTTCCAAGGTTTTTTTAAAAGGCAGAAAAGCTCTCATGATCATTTGATCTGAAATGAGTTGTGCATACCATGGGGTGTTCCCCAGTAATTCTTCCCTCACACCCATACCTTTCGTCTGAGCTACGGCACATGTTTTAGAAATACATTCATTTGTGACTGGAAAAGATCACAACCCCTCATGGAATGCGTTAGCTAACTCTTAGGTAATACTACAAAACCTTCAGCTTCAAACACCAGCTCTTGCTAGGCTATGTTGGTAATGGAGGCATAAGTAGATGGACAGTTGCCCTGTCTTATGAGCCATTTTGATGCTGATCCTGCCCCTGGCATAAACTATAGTCCAGGGTTGTTCTCAGTCATGTCTGTTTAGAATGGTCTGCCTGTATGTTCTTCATACTTTGAAGATTATCATTGTTTTTTGAAGCTGCAGGATAAGCCAGCAAAGATATAAAGCCTGACTTGAAAATGAATGCTGATGTGACTGCTTCTGGTTTCTGATTCAGCAGAGACATAGATGTGTTTCTCGGAGTGGAGGATGTTGTTTCAGTTACGCTTCTGAGGTAGTTTGGCATGAAAGGCTGAACAGGGTGGAAACTTTCACTTTGAGCAAAAGAACGGTTCTAATGGAGTCTATGTGCTTGTACTTTTTCATGTCTGTCCTTTCCCACAGCTCTCCCAGACCAAACATTCAACTCCCCAAACTGATGGTGGCAAAAAAAAGAAATTCAATTAACTGTGAAGATGTGTTTTCAGAAAGAAAAATATAACCATGGAGCTCTTAAACACAATGTGGGGAAGTGTCAAAGACCCTTCAGTTGCTGCAGAAAGAGATCCCAACACAACCAGGTTAAGTTAGAGGAAACACACAGATGAGGACATTATGCCCCTATAAACTGCCAAAAGTCCTTGTCTTTTGTCCACCTCTTCTCCTCATCAAAGCTGCTGGCAAACTGGAGGACGCAGCACAGATCTGGCACAGTCAAGAAGGATTTTCAGCTCCCCAATTAAAGCAGTGTGTATGGTCCATCAGGTAAGCCAATGCCCATGTAAACATCTAGTAATAGCTACACAGGAGGCAATCAGGGCATCACCTTTGTTTTTGTTTATCTGAGACAGGTGCTCATAGTGGTGACCAGAACTTCCCTGCAATAAGAAGAAACATGCAAAATGGTGAAGATTTTTTGAAAATCCTCATGTTCAATTTGTGAAACTCACATTTCTTGAAAAAGCCTCTTTGGGTGAAGAAGGCAGTTTTTCTCTTACGCTTGCACGTGTGCATTCTTGATCTGACATTACTTGCAACCACAAGAGAGCACTCTTTCCTTTGAAGATTTCTCAGTTTCCCCAGAAAGCTAGAGACATGCCATATAAGTTTGCAAACAGCTTGTAAGCTGTTTCAGTTAGACCAGAGCAGCCGAAACAACAAAGCTTGCAGTTGTCTTTTGGATTTCGTTGTGAAAAGCCTTTGGGTAGTTTTCAGATGACAGAAGATTTGGTTCCTGAGAGGGAGGAGTTGTGCCAAAACTTTGAAGATCCCTGTAAACTTTGCAAATTACCCATCTTTTGGAGACAATTATATCAAACGATATCGTGGATTACAATACATGAGAAGTGTTTAGAGCCTGGAAGATTATTTATGTTTGGCATTAGCTCTTATGGTCATAATTTCAAGCAGAGAGAAAAGGAATACACAGGAACCCTCTTATTATCTTTTGAAATATGAAGATCAGAGGAAAAGAAGGGTTTAAAGTGTGGAGTGATGGTCCTCAAAACCTGTCTGTAAATTAGCTGGTATCCAACATCTATAAAAACAACAAGGCTTAGAGCTGACTTCCAGGCACAGAGTGGACCTCATGAATGGTTAGCAGTGCTTTGAGATCTGAGTGTTCATACACCGCAGGAGGAAATTGCAGCCTGTGGGGCAGAGTACCTATACAAATGTTTCCTCCTTGCTTGGACTGATACAAGATTTGGAAGCCAAATTCGGGAACTGACATTCCACCAGTGGGGAATAAAAAAAAGAAGCATGGACAGCAGTAAAGATGATGATGGACTACTGAACAGGATTGCATTTCCAGGAGCTATGTCCCTGGCTAACAGCCATGTGCATCCCCATGGGGTGCCCCTAAGAGAGCCCTTTGGGGTTCCCTTCCATCTGGACCCATCTTACTGGGAGCAAGCCTATGGCGGGCACACAGGTCGCATCTCCTACATCCCATTCCCTGGCTACGTGGGCATCTATGACTATTCCTTTGAGCCTGCCTTCATTCGAAAGAGGAACGAGAGGGAAAGGCAGCGGGTGCGCTGCGTGAACGAGGGCTACACACGCCTGAGAGAGCACCTGCCCAAGGAATTTGCTGACAAGCGCCTCAGCAAAGTGGAGACACTGAGAGCTGCAATAAGCTACATCAAACACCTACAGAGCTTGCTGGACTGTCATCCCTTAGGGTCGAACAGCAAAGAAATGCTCTCTGACAAGGAGCTCCCAGAAGCTCCCAGTCCTGGTCGCCCGCGGGAGTGCAACAGTGATGGAGAGTCCAAAACCTCATCAGCTTCATCCCCCTACAGTGAATTTGAGGAGATGGGCAGCTAAGTAACAGCCTCTCTGGAGACAGAAAGCTGAAAACCAAATCTAAAACCCTGGGGATTTTTCCACAGATGAAAATGAATACCAGGAAAAGGAAAAGCAGCTAGAGAAAACCAGAAAAGGTATTTTCGATCTGTCAAAGGATTTAACTGTTGTCTGTACAAAACCTAAAGATGATTTGTGAGCAAACAGATATATCTCAGGTTGCTTCAGCTGTGTTACTAAACTTCCTTTGGACTGTTAAAACTGAAGTGATGTTTGTATTCTATTTTTCATTCAGCTTTTATTCTATTCATCTATTTTCTTTTGCCTTTCACTTGATGAGACAGCAAAACAAGATGAATGCATTTAAGGAAATTCCCCTTCCCTTTCTCCTGCTTCCTCCTGTAAGTTTTATTGGCTGGTTTTCCTGACTGCTAACCTGAGATGCACTGGCTTGCAAAAACATGGACTGGGAAAGGTAAGATTTAGATAAAATGTCTTTCCCTAAAATTTTTAGGAAACTCACAGAAATACTTATGTTTCTGAAAAGACAATTAAAAAATATAAATAAGGCTATATTTGGGAAATAATTTATCGCATGGCATCTTTGAAAGTGAAAGAAGCAACTCGTTCATTGGACACTGGCTATCTGGTGATTATTTGAAGGACAATTTTCAGGAAAAGAAAATCTGACACTTTCATTTTAATCAATACGAAAAAGAGGAAACAAAGTTGTGTAAAGCTGCATTTTCAAAAGCAAAGCTCCGCTCATTATACTGAAAAAATGTTGCCAGTCTTTTTCCTCCTTTTCTGAAAATTGAGTTTGTGGACAAAATAATCTTGACTGTGTCTTTTCGGCAGGTCTGATAGAAATATGCTTAAAAGTATGTTCCCGTAGTGGTTAGATACCAGTGTGTACAAAAAGGGTAACATTGAATATATCAGTTTACATCTCTGCATGAAAACCTAGGTATTTCTCCTTTTGTTTAGAATATTGTAATACTTTTTCAAGGAATACACCTTTTAAAATTAGTATCTCAAATTCTATGGACTACCTTTAATTTGGACTATGTCTACTTAAAATGAGAATTTGTCTCCAAATTGCTTGAAAATGTTCCTTTCTCCAAGGCCAGATTTAAATAACATTTAGCTGTCTTAAATCCCATGCTGAATATGGGGTAAACACCTTCTTACCCATACACTTTCAAACAGACTTTTCAAAATTCTGCTTTTTTTGCCCTATGTTGGTGAAATGGATTTGTATCTTTTTGTCTTTCCTTCATGTCATGCTGACTCGACACCTGAAAAAATACTCGTGTATAAATAAGAACAAATACTGATGAAATACCTCAAAATGTGTCTATAAATTTCATTTAAATAAAAAATTGAATTATTCCTGGCTATGTTCTTTTTCACTTTCAATTGCTAACAAATGGGACAGCACTGTTTGCTGGAGTAATGAATTTTCAGGAAAGAAGAAAGAAACTAGATAAGAAGTAAATAGGAACTGCTACCTATTAAACAACATTTTAATCTAGATTTTTAAATCTAGATATGGAGCAGGTTTGTGCAGTGGGCATCTAATGAAAATTATTGGGTATAAAACCTGCTGATTTTTAGCAGATCATTCTGAACATTTGTTCTTTTAGTTATTGTGTCCATCGCATCCACAGGCTTCATTCTTTATTCTTTATATGGTAAACAGCTTCCTTTTCTAATGTCTATTTTGTTTTTCTTGCTACTTTTGCAGGGTCTGTTTCCCAGACTGAAAGAGTAGAGGTCTAGTTACCTGGACAATTCAGATCCAGAGCCAAAGCACTCGTTTCTGGGTGCATGTTGTATTTGTTATCCAAGAAAGGGGAGGGGAGCAAGGTTGGGATCCATTATCTCATGTCTTTTTTTCTTTCCTTTGTGTTCACTGACAGAGATTCAACCTCTCTCTGCGTCAGTTTTTTGATTTCTAGAAATACGGTGGTGCTGCTGGTAACGCTGTCAGTAAGCCTGAATTGCATTCCTCGGTCAGAGCAGAAGTTAAATCTTTGTTATCTGTGAAAACCATACACTTCCTCAGAGTACCTGAGACAAGTTCCATGAAACATAGTTGTTTGTAAAGCACTCTGAAGATGAAAAGTGGTTAATGTGCACATAGTGACAATTCATAGCCAAATCAAACTGAATCAACATAAAAATTACCAGAATGACCGTTACTTCCTGGGCAGGGCACATCAGATAACGCTCCAAATAGTTTTTTAGGTCAGATGGTTGTCATGGAGGCTTGGTCCCTACAGAGATATATGTAGGAGCCAAAATCCTCTGATTTCAAACGCTAGAGCTAGTTAGGCCATCCAGAGGAATGAACTAGGCTGCGGCTCTGCCCCTTTTCAGCTTCATCTCAAACGGGATCTTCCTCAAAGGGAGTCTAATTGAGTGACAAGCATCACAACCTGTGCCTCTGCTTGGCTGTCACTGCTGTAGGATGTCTCTTCCCCTGTGAGATGCAGGCTGATCAGCTGCACATTTAGATAGGACTGGTTTTTGTTGCAGATCCTAAATATTCTGCAGTCAGAACCAAACCTGGACTTTGCGAAATAATATTCTGGAAAATGCCTCTGGACTTCAAGTCAAGGAGACTTGAAAATCTACATTTAATAAAACTGTGGCTACTTTTATGTATGTATTGTACATCTCTGGAGATGTCCCTAAAATACCCCCAATCCAATGTTAATACTGAAGGTGTAAAAGCTAGAATGTCACGTGTAGCTTAATTTAATTTTAAAGGAAAACTGATTTCTGGATGAAGAGAAAATTCTGTGTGGGAAAGACTGTCACAGGTTGAACTACTCTCCTTAGGAAAGTTTTACCTTTCTATTTCTCACAGTTCCTGTTGTCATGCAAATCTCTTGCACATTTTTAGCACAAGGAAGTAGAAAACAGCTCAAGATTTCCCAAAGATGAATCAATGCTTCCTACAGGCATCAACAAAAGTTTAAAGTGAATGCTAAGTTTCAAAAGCTTTCTTAAGCTGTATCTGTCTAGACAAAGGTTTTCTTCAAAGCTTCTAAAGTGTATCATTATCAGACTTTGAAAGCAGACATTGATCCAACTTGTCATCATGAGAATTAAAGTTTCAATAAAAATGTTGACCAGGGAATTCTCTCCATGTGGCAGAATTACTGTTTACAAGAAAGGTGAACACTTCTATCTGTAGGCAACCATGCTACAGCTCTATTGAACTCCTGCACACCAAATGCAGACACTTTAATCTTTGTATCAAATGTGAAAGAAACCCCACACATCTGAAGTCTTCCCTCTTCTGCCATTAAATTACAAATCCATTTGCTCCTTGATATTATCAGCATTTTAAAGATGTGTAATCCTGGCCATGGAATTGCTTTTAATCCCCTAATAGCTATTTAGCTGATTTCTTTGTAAAAGCCTGTCCACACTCCTTTCATGTTATATTACCCAGTGTCAATAACATGGCCAAAGAAAACCAGAGGCACTATAGAAAAGTCATGTTCAGACAGTAAAGCAATCAGGGCCAGTTTATCTCACTGGAGTAAATGAAAAGGGAACATCCACACAGAAAATAAAGACTGAAAACATTTGACACCAGCATACTTGCAAAGGAGACAAAAGAAGATCCAAAACATCTTGAGGAGAGGCTTGCAAGTTGTACCAACAGGAGAGCCCTGCTGAAGTTAGCTGAGGTCAATCACTATAGCTGAGCAAGGTCTTAGTAAGTCTCTCGAGAGCAGAGTCTAAGCAAATATAACTTCAGCAGGTGCTCCTCACCAGTGACCCTCAGGGTATAGATAAATGGCTGTACACAGTGGTGCACTGGGTGGCACTGGGGTTCTGAGAGGCAGATGACGGCAGGGTGGGTGTGAGAAGGGCTGTTGCTACTCTTAGAAGGAGATGGGGAGTGAGGTGGGAGCTACTGCTCCCTAAGAGCAGGAGTCAACAGGCCCTCTAGTAGCAGTACTACACTTCAGTAGCCTTTACCTATTGTACCACTCAAAAGGTTCTTATTTAAAAAGCCAAATCAAAAAGCAGGCCTGGAAAAAGACAGGGGAGCTTCAAAGGAGTAAGTCTGTCACTGAAGTCAAATGAGCTTTTCTCACTGGATAAAGCCCTATGTGAAAGTCACCTGGTGTCGCACCTGAGCTGGGTTGTCACCCTTGTTAGAACTTGTTCTCCATGGCCTGAGCATGCAGCATGAACACAGGCAAGGTACAACCAGAACCATGGCGGGTACTTGAGCATATGAAGGGTGTGGATATCTGCTTCTACCAGGCTGAAGGTAAGCTCTAGCCTGGCAGTGAGGTACAGCCTTAGAAGACAAAACCTTTGCTTGGTTGCAAATCAAGTTGAAAAATGAAGTGAACAACAACTGAAGTCCAACTTAGGAATGGATAGCATGAGTATGTGCAGAGGCTGGGTCTCTGGGATATACTTCAGAGGAAAAGCACAAGAAAAGGTTGGTTTGATTGGTTTCCCTTTATTTGTCATGGCTTACACAAGAACCGTTCTTCCCTAAGCAACACAATAGCTACATGTGTACGAGCTGGAAAGGCTGGGGTACCTATGACCCAGCTCTGAAGCAGCGTTCTGCCACTACGCGTTTTGCTTTTCCTGGGGAGAACAGGAACTTCATGCAGTCTCACACCTTACAAACCCAAGGCAAAGCCCATTAGCAGGTTTTTGTCTGCTTTCCAATGAAAACAAAGCTCATGTGAGACATCCCGTCTCCAAAAACTTCTGAATCTCTGACTGATTTTCAGCCAACCCCAATGGGGAGAACATCTCAAAATGCAAATCGAATTTCTTCCCCCTCACCCCCAAAAGAGGGGTTGGGCAGAGATGGGGAGCTCAGCTTAGTGCTTATGGTGATGAGCTGTGGTGCTTCATGCTGGGTCATCCTGTGATGCTCAACTGCTGAAGGCCGCAACCCCTGGGCCAGACACAGAAAACAAGCAGTTCATTTGCTCTTCAGCCGCCTCCAGTCATAACTAGGTATATTCATGTAAACTGAGGGGATTTGCCAAGGTTAAAACACCCATCTGTGAAGCTGAGAAGCTGAAGACTCTGATTCATTACATCACTGTCTTTAGCTATGCCTGAACGGGCAAATACCCCCAAAACTGTGGGTTACAGGGATAGGGAGCAGCCAGGAAGCCTCTATATCACTATGAGTTCCCTCAGTCTTTTTCAAAAGCTTTGAAGCCAGGCTTATGGGATTCACTGTCACTGGGGAATGGTTTTGCAGTTGCTGAAGCACCACGATGGAAGTTTGTTAACCTAGTCCTCAGTTTATCAGTTACGTTTTTGCAGCTGCAGGGAATTAAAAGATATATTAGTATGGATCATGGTTTTTAACCAAGTTAATAGAAGTCCGTACATCTCTCTGCTAGTCTACCCCGTGCAAATTTTGGATACCACTCAGCTCACTTCAGATATGACTGGTATAAGGGTTTCAAAGACATGAAATTGCTACACAGTCCATGAACAATGGTGGCATCAGAGTAGAAAAATGCACCAAATTAGAGTCCTGGGAGCATACAGTACCAATCCAAGCCAAGCTACATTTGCTGTGCTACTCACAAAGCACCTTACTTGTCCCCATGATTTTATTTGGATGTGTAGTGGTTCTGGGCATATACAGCAGATTTTTGTGTTCCAGGGCTGTCAGCCGTCAGTACTGAACCCAAACCAATCTCTTCCAGCTGCACTGAGATTACAAAGAGAACAAGTAGTTACAAATAAATGGAATTTGCACATCTTTTAATGCATTTGTTTTACTGCCAGAATTATGCTATATTAGGCTGCTCTCTAGATGTAGCTTTTTGAAATTAAGAAACATCGAAGAAGTCTCAGGCTCAGCTGCAGAGGTTTATCCCAGGGACACTCATGAGGAGGTGATATGTGCATCCCAGAGGTGTTAAAGCTCAGTGGTGCTTAATGAATTGAACTGATAATAAACAGGGTAATGTATAAATGAAAAAAGCCAGACGTATAAACACAGGAGTGTGTGTTGTGGTGTCTGCGCATGGGAAAAAGAGGAAGGGTGGCAGAGGGGAGGGAGAAAAGAGAGTGGTATTGAAGTGTGGCACGCTGCTTGATAACAAACCAGCTGTGTGGCTGAGACAAGGGAAATAGCAACCAGGTAGATAAGATACTTTTTGGGGAGGATTAAATCCTTACAAAAAATAAAAATACTTATTTGCAGGCAAACCCTGTGAAGGTATAAAAAGGCTGTGAGTTTTGAATAGCGGAAATGCTAATGACAGCAAGCAAAGCAGCAGCTCTCATGAGACCAGGATTTAGAGGGAGCCATAGGACTGGAGAGAGATACAACTCCCTCCCTGCCACGACC